AGCACCTGTATGCAGCACCTGTTTGTAGCACCTGTATGTAGCACCTGTATGCTATATAGAGCCCTCACCTGTATGTAGCACTCTCACCTGTATGTAGCACCTGTATGTTGCACATGTATGTAGCACTCTCACCTGTATGCAGCACCTGTATGTAGCACCTGTATGTAGCACACACCTGTTTGTAGCACCTGTGTGTAGCGCCCTCACCTGTATGAAGCACCTGTATGCAGCACCTGTGTGTAGCGCCCGCACCTGTATGCAGCACCTGTGTGTAGCACTTGTATTTAGCACCTGTGTGTAGTGCCCTCACCTGTATGTAACACCTGTATGCAGCACCTGTATGTAGCACTTGTGTGTATGTAACAACAGGTTGTTTAGGCCAGATGTGACTGCGATTCAACTCTGAGTACTATTCAAAAGACTGGTTCGGGAAGGAGCCTGGGTTGTGAGGTGTAGAGTGAGTGATACAAAACAACTGATTGAGTTTTGAGTTTGGTATTGTATTAAAAGGAGAAAGTAAATAACACAAAATTGTACAGAATAACAATATAACAATACTGACAGCCACAACCTCGCTGATAACGATACTGTTCTCACGATTCACACGCTCTGTGTTAGAGTCCGTGCTCCCATTCAAAGGGAGAGAAGAGAAGAAACCAAAAACGTCCACGATAGTCCAATATTGTCCGTTGGACGTAAAGGAAAAAAATTAATTGATAGTCTTTTATCCTACCAGGAGTCCATGGCAGGGACAGGGAGATATCAGGATGAGGTGTGGAAACAGCTCAGTACAAAAAACCGGACCTTGAATTGCGTGGGCTTTGACGCTACTCCACACGCGCCCACATGGAAGCGTGGAGTCTTTATGATAGAGGGGAAAAACGCTCCGATAACAAAGTTGTGCAGCTTTGTAACGCTAGCCCGCAGCTATGACATGCCACAGGTACAGCGGAGGAGAGCGTCAAGTGGGGGAGCGCGCATCATAAGGGAAACCATCAGATGTGGCGGAAGCTGACCCGCAACAATAAAACTAAACTGAAATGCGGGTTACAGGCCCCCCCCCTAAATTCATGTACGGCCTCGAACATGTGGACACGCCCTGGCACATTTACTCTTGGGCTGGGAGCCCTCAAGTTGCAAAGCAGAAGAGACGACTGTGCTCAAACCATGGAAGAGGGACTGTATGCTTTGCAACAGCGGTTTCTCAAGCTGTGAATATTGCAGTCGCTGCGGCGGATGTCGAGATCGGGTGGGGCGTCGAACAGGTGGGGTCTGTTCTGAACTAGAGTTTTCAGCTGCAGAACTGGATTCATTTGAGTTGACTGACCTTGGACTGTTGGAAGTCATCACCTCTGGTCGTGAACTTTCAACAGACTCGGGAGATGAGTGTACGGATACTGTCGGAGGATCTTCAGCCCTTTCATCAGGTAAGTCGGTTAAGGTAAGCGTAGGTTCACCAGTAACCATCTCTGACCCAGGATCTGCTCCATTCGGACCCTGTGGATGCTGGCCAGGCAATGTCACAGGCAGAGTCGAAGGGGGCATTGGAGGGTGCAAAACAGGTAAGTCGATTGTCGTGGTGAATCTTATTGGGTCTGAGCCGGAGGAATCAGGTGAGTAGGGCAGGACAACAAGCTCAAATGGATCAGGATCATCACGCTCTGAAACTGGAACTGGCTGAGACAATGGGCTGAGTCTTTGCTTCTGGGGTTCGGGTTGCTTAGAGGAGGAAAGGTACCCGCAGGGCAGCAGCAAATCCCTGTGCAGCGTTCTAACAGGGCGGTCTTTGCCTTCGGGTCGGACTGTGTACACCGGAAGAGTGCCAGCCCTTTTTAGGACGATGTATACCTCAGCTTCCCACTTATCAGCGAGCTTATGCTTGCCACGGACTTTCACGTTCCTCACAAGGACTCGGTCCCCTACATCCAACTCCGATGCTCTGATTTGTTTATCATATCTTCGTTTATTCCGATCCATAACTTTTCCTGCATTCTTGGTTGCAATTTTGTAACTTTCTTTAAGATGAGATTTCAGCTTGTCAACATATTGTGAGTGCGACGTTGGTTGTTCGGACACAGGTAATCCAAATGCCAGGTCAACCGGAAGGCGGGGCTGTCTCCCAAACATCAGCTCGTAAGGCGAGTAGCCAGTGACGTCGTTTTTAGTACAGTTGTAAGCGTGTACCAACGGTTTCACAAAATCCTTCCAGTGAACCTTGTCCTGATCCTGTAGCGTTCCCAACATGCTCAAGAGCGTCCGATTGAATCGTTCGACAGGGACATTCTCGGGCTCTGGGTTGGACGGCCATCATGGTCAAATGAGGGCGGAAACACTGGGATCTGGTCTGTGGGCATATGTTGTTTTGAAGATGGTCTGAACTCCGGGAAGGTTTTTGGTCTGACTACCGGCTCCTCGAGTTCTTCCTCTTCATCATCTTCTTTCATGGAAACTGGCCCAAGATGAATGCTGATCTGATCCATCAGACCTTTTAGTACTACTTCGAATGGTTGACCGCTACTCTCTGCGAGTTTCCTGATCTCTCTGAGGTAATCAGGGGGTTGAGCCGACTCCGCTGTACCTGTGGCGGAGCACTCACTCGCACCCGAAAGTGAACGAACAACAAAAACAACATCTGCGCCACTACGCGAAGGATAAGTGTATGGTAGCAAAGGTTCTAGAGATACTAACGCTGCCTTGTTAATAAATTCAACGATCCGGTTTTTGTTATAACGCACTGTCTCTGTCTGTAACAGTAAACGTGGTTTTTATTTCACCATAACTACGTAATTGTTGAATAATCTCATCGTCGGATTGGGTGTTAGTTACACCGGAAATGACGACAGAATGAGCAACATTCACGTCGGCTTTGGGAAACAAATCCATTTTTAAAAACACTCTTTTTGTCCTTTAAACAAATAAATCACACACCTTCAACAAACCACAATGCACCAGGCTCCTGGCTAGCTCGCCACGCTGTAACAACAGGTTGTTTAGGCCAGATGTGACTGCGATTCAACTCTGAGTACTATTCAAAAGACTGGTTCGGGAAGGAGCCTGGGTTGTGAGGTGTAGAGTGAGTGATACAAAACAACTGATTGAGTTTTGAGTTTGGTATTGTATTAAAAGGAGAAAGTAAATAACACAAAATTGTACAGAATAACAATATAACAATACTGACAGCCACAACCTCGCTGATAACGATACTGTTCTCACGATTCACACGCTCTGTGTTAGAGTCCGTGCTCCCATTCAAAGGGAGAGAAGAGAAGAAACCAAAAACGTCCACGATAGTCCAATATTGTCCGTTGGACGTAAAGGAAAAAAATTAATTGATAGTCTTTTATCCTACCAGGAGTCCATGGCAGGGACAGGGAGATATCAGGATGAGGTGTGGAAACAGCTCAGTACAAAAAACCGGACCTTGAATTGCGTGGGCTTTGACGCTACTCCACACGCGCCCACATGGAAGCGTGGAGTCTTTATGATAGAGGGAAAAACGCTCCGATAACAAAGTTGTGCAGCTTTGTAACGCTAGCCCGCAGCTATGACATGCCACAGGTACAGCGGAGGAGAGCGTCAAGTGGGGGAGCGCGCATCATAAGGGAAACCATCAGATGTGGCGGAAGCTGACCCGCAACAATAAAACTAAACTGAAATGCGGGTTATATGTAGCACTCTCACCTGTATGTAGCACCTGTGTGTAGAGCTCTCATCTGTATGTAACACCTGTATGTAGCACCTGTATGTAACACCTGTATGTAGCACTCTCACCTGTGTGTAGCACCCTCACCTGTATGTAGCTCCTGTGTGTAGCGCCCTCACCTGTATGTAGCACCTGTACGTAGCACCTGTGTGAAGCACCCTCACCTGTATGTAGCACCTGTGTGTAGCACCCTCACCTGTATGTAGCACCTGTGTGAAGCACCCTCACCTGTATGTAGCACCTGTGTGTAGCGCCCTCACCTGTATGTAGCACCTGTATGTAGCACCTGTGTGAAGCGCCCTCACCAGTATGTAGCACCTGTATGTAACACCTGTGTGTAGCGCCCTCACCTGTATGTAGCACCTGTATGCAGCACCTGTATGTAGCACTTGTGTGTAGCGCCCTCACCTGTATGTAGCACTCTGAACTGTATATAACACCTGTGTGTAGCGCCCTCACCTGTATGTAACACCTGTATGTAGCACCTGTATGCAGCACCTGTATATAGCACTTGTGTGTAGCGCCCTCACCTGTATCTAGCACTCTCACCTGTATGTAGCACTTGTGTGTAGCGCCCTCACCTGTATGTAGCACTCTCACCTGTATGTAGCACTTGTGTGTAGCGCCCTCACCTGTATGTAGCACCTGTGTGTAGCGCCCTCACCTGTATCTAGCACCTGTGTGTAGCGCCCTCACCTGTATCTAGCACTCTCACCTGTACAGTATATAGCACTTGTGTGTAGCGCCCTCACCTGTATGTAGCACTCTCACCTGTATATAGCACCTGTGTGTAGAGCTCTCACCTGTATGTAACACTCTCACCTGTATATAGCACCTGTGTGTAGAGCTCTCACCTGTATGTAGCACCTGTATGCAGCACCTGTATGTAGCACTTGTGTGTAGCGCCCTCACCTGTATGTAGCACTCTCACCTGTATATAGCACCTGTGTGTAGAGCTCTCACCTGTATGTAACACCTGTATGTAGCACCTGTATATAGCACTTGTGTGTAGCGCCCTCACCTGTATCTAGCACTCTCACCTGTATATAGCACCTGTGTGTAGAGCCCTCACCTGTATGTAGCACCTGTATGTAACACCTGTGTGAAGCGCCCTCACCTGTATGTAGCACCTGTATGTAACACCTGTGTGAAGCGCCCTCACCTGTATGTAGCACCTGTATGTAACACCTGTGTGTAGCGCCCTCACCTGTATGTAGCACCTGTATGCAGCACCTGTATGTAGCACTTGTGTGTAGCACTCTCACCTGTATATAGCACCTGTGTGTAGAGCTCTCACCTGTATGTAACACTCTCCGGGCGGCACCGTTCTCTGCCCGACTATAAACTGCCAAAACAAGATGGCGGGCGCCCAGAGGATGAAGGACAGGATCCAGGCGGCCGCGATCATCAGCCCCGCCATCTTTGTAGTCCTGCGGGTCGGGTAGCTCAGCGGCTTGGTCACGCAGAAGTAGCGGTCGAAGCTAATGATGAGCAGGTTCATCACGGACGCGTTGGACACCACGTAATCCAGCGCCAGCCACAGGTCGCACACGACGGGACCCAGGGGCCAGTACCCCACCACAATGTACACCGTGTACAGGTTCATGCTAAAGACCCCGATGATCAAGTCCGCGCATGCTAGCGAGAACAGGAAGTAGTTGTTGACCGTCTGCAGGTGGCGGTTGACCTTGATGGACAGCATGACCAGGATGTTGCCCGTGACGGTGACCAGGCTGAGGGACCCCGTCACCAAGGCGATAAAAAACATCTCCACGGTCTTGTAGGGGCTCCCGTAGGCCGGTCCATCGTCCAGCGCCGGGCAGGAGTCGTTGGAGGTGGACTGGTTGCACGAGGAGTTGGAGAAGAGGTCGGCGGTCTGGTTGGCGAACGAGTCTGGAGAAAAAACAGACGGTGTTTGAGGTTAGCGTTGTGTCCGTGGTTACGTTCAAATACATATCTTGTAAATCTGAATAAGACCAAAGTCACGAGAACCTGACAGAGAAACTGACAGAAAACCTACAACTTTCATTAAAGAGCGACTAAACACCTGTGCCCAGCCTTACTCCGCCCACATGAACATTTGAACATTTTCTCTTAAAAGGGTGTTGCCTGGAGAACCAAAGGACAAGAAGGCGGGGCTTAGAGTTGGGCGTGGTCTGGGCTGTGATTGACAGCTCACTTGTCACACGAAAAAAAAAACTGACAGTTGTCATTGCTGCTTAAAGCAATAGTTTACAGACCAGAAAGTCTCACTCCTTTGTTTACACACTAAGATAATTGTGAAGCTACACACCTGAACCTCAGACACACAATTATCTCAGCAGCAGTGGCTTCAACTCATGTAATTTAATTTTAATCCACTAGATGTCGCCAGAATACTCCAACCTGCTGCTGGGGCGTGTGTGAGAGTTGGATGGGTTTATATCACTGGGTCAGACAGACGTCACACACACCAACAGACGTCACACACACCAACTGACGTCACACACACCAACAGACGTCACACACACCAACTGACGTCACACACACCAACTGACGTCACACACACCAACAGACGTCACACACACCAACAGACGTCACACACACTAACTGACGTCACACACACCAACTGACGTCACACACACCAACAGACGTCACACACACCAACTGACGACACACACACCAACAGACGTCACACACACCAACTGACGTCACACACACCAACTGACGTCACACACACCAACAGACGTCACACACACCAACTGACGTCACACACACCAACTGACGTCACACACACCAACAGACGTCACACACACCAACTGACGTCACACACACCAACTGACGTCACACACACCAACAGACGTCACACACACCAACAGACGTCACACACACCAACTGACGTCACACACACCAACTGACGTCACACACACCAACAGACGTCACACACACCAACTGACGTCACACACACCAACTGACGTCACACACACCAACTGACGTCACACACACCAACTGACGTCACACACACCAACAGACGTCACACACACCAACTGACGTCACACACACCAACTGACGTCACACACACCAACTGACGTCACACACACCAACAGACGTCACACACACCAACTGACGTCACACACACCAACTGACGTCACACACACCAACTGACGTCACACACACCAACTGACGTCACACACACCAACTGACGTCACACACACCAACTGACGTCACACACACACCAACTGACGTCACACACACAAACTGACGTCAAACACACCAACTGACGTCACACACACCAACTGACGTCACACACACCAACTGACGTCACACACACACACACACACACCAACTGACGTCACACAGAATTACAGCCAATGGAGAGGCCAGGACCAAATTCAAATGTAGTACCACCAAAAAGGTTGAGAGGGCGCCACACAGACGTTTTTTGGCTCAAAAGTGAGATTTTATCTAATTTGCACTGAAATGTCAAAAAAATGACCAGGATATGTAGAGAGCACTACAATAAACATATTTATGCAGTTTATGAGTTAAAAAGAGTTGTCTCTTGTCGTTCCAGATGTTTTCTTGGGTAGACTTGGAATATCTGCGCTCCACCGCGGCACTAAAATCAGCAGGACATCAGTCTGTCCTTAAGATAATTGTTTAGATTAAAAGGACAGGCTTAATCCAGTGTTTTCCAACCCGTGGGCCGTGGCTCGTTAGTGTGCCTTGAGATAATGTTTGTTGCGCTTATTTGGTCAAAATCATGTGAGAAGAAAGAGGATTAGAAACACTTTTGTGCTACATTGTCTCGTTCATAAAAGAGTTTCAGGTCTGTCTCAGTTTCAGCTTCAGCGGCGTCACATGTTTCTGATGAAAAAGGTGTTGATGTGAAAAAAAGGAAAAAGGTGTTCTGATGAAAAAGGTTGGGGGACACTGCTTTAATCCACATCATCAAAGAGAAGGCCCGACACACATCCTGAAGTAAACTCACTGAGGCGGTCCAGGACTCTGAGGGACACTTTTCTTTCGTGTTTGGACAGAAATCAAAGCCGTTTAAGAAGAATGTTTCAGAAGAACATCCTCAGGTCTTACATCAGTGGGAGGAGTGTGAATTCTAAAACGTGATTAAGTGAAGAGCCCGGGAGAAGGCGGGGCTTATGAGGCTTACAGACAGAGAACCTCCCACTCTGCTGCGACACTGGCTTAAGGATATCACTGTATATTACTTTACAAATAGGTTCAAAACACTGGATTATGCCACATCAGACCTGACTCCAGCACTGGTTTAGTCTCATGGAAATCTACTTTGTAAATATACTTTCAAACTACCCTGGTCGTACCACACCATAGTACAAATTACATCTCGTGCTGAGGTCTGGATTTGCTCCATTGACTTCGTGAACAGGTGGGAGGGGTTAACTCCTTTAAAGATTGAAACCATTGGATCTGAGTTTACCGTGACGTATGTAGTGAGTCGTTAGCATTTAGCCTAGCTTTAGCATGTAGCCTAGCTTTCGCCATCTCCTTTGCCACTAACGGAGCCCGTGGGGAGTAGAGCCACAACATCTTTGCTTCAAATTTACTAAACATTCCTCTTGCTCCGGCTTCAGTTTCTTGACAGTAAAGTAATCCGGTCTGGTTCTATCACATTCTTCGCCAAACTACGACCTACCCGATCAGCGCAAACTCTAACCCACATCTAACTACAACACCCGCCTCCCGCGCTCTCTGATTGGTCGGATGGAATTCAACCGATTGTAATCACAGACACAGGGACCAGACCCAGACGTTACCTGCAGGACATGATGATGACCGGAGTGTAGGATGGATAAGGCCAGGCTAGCTTTAAACTGGAAAATGAGTCCAAAATGACGTCTCCGATGCCGAACACCGATACAGTTCCTCAGAATAATGTTCGTACAGAAACGCCTTTGATAGATATTGGGGAAAATTTATCATATACAAGATTCAAAGAGATTAGTTTTTAACAGTACGAAAAATGAAGGAAAAGGGTTTGTTTGTAAATGTTACTAACGTATTGTAAATATGTAGGAAAATGAAACTGGTTGTATTTTGTAAGTTTAAAACCAAGTAAATAAAGTGCTCGTCCCACTCCTCATGAATCCATTTTCTCAGTTTTTTCTTTGTGCATAACATACTGTTCCATTAAAGACTGAAATTAACTTTTGTATGAACTGTGCTATACCAATAAACTTGCCTTTCCTTTAAAGAAAAAAGAAATAACAATAAAACAACGACATTTTGGTCTTTGGTCGACACTGCAAAAAATGACACGTTTCAAAACGAACAGAGAATCTGACACATTCTGTCGTAAAACATTCTTCACCAACGACAAAGTCGTTTAGATTTATTTAAAAACTGTTCCTTTATTTTCTCATTTCTTGTATCTTTTTAAAGTCTTTTGGCTGATCCCGTTTGGACCTTTTTATCGTCACGTTTTACAGTGTACAGTATTTATATGTCACGCTGTGGTTTTATTTTGATATATTTCTGTTCCTTTCTGAGTTTTACTTCCTGTCCGTCTCGTTGATTGTTTGCCCCTCCCTGATGTCAGGGCGGGGCACCTGTGTGCACCTGTGTGTACCTGTGTGTACCTGTGTGTACCTGTGTTCACCTGTGTGTACCTGTGTGCACCTGTGTTCACCTGTGTGTACCTGTGTTCACCTGTGTGCACCTGTGTGCACCTGTATGCACCTGTGTTCACCTGTGTGTACCTGTGTTCACCTGTGTGCACCTGTGTGTATTTAGACCCTGTGTGTACCTGGGCTCCTGTGTGTACAAGTGTGTATATACCTGTACCTGTGCTCCTCTTGTCGGTCCATTGCTGTTTTCCCAGTTTTCAGTTTTTACTTTTTGTGGCATCTATTAAATTATGTTATTTTTGCAGTTCTGTTTTTGGGTTCTTTCTTGTTTATCCGCAACTATATATATATATATATATATATATATATATATATATAAAAAAAATTGTCCACTCACCTTTGGCCCTCCGCGGGCGGTTATCCCTCTCTAAGCTCGGGTCCTCTACCAGAGGCCAGGGAGCTTGAGGGTTCTGCGCAGTATCTTTGCTGTTCCTAGCACTGCACATTTCTGGACCGAGATGTCCGAGGTTGTTCCGGGGATCCGCTGTATAACATATACAAATATATCCGATAACAGGGCTCTGTTGGGAATATATATATATATATATATATATATATATATATATATATACAGTATATATATTTATATATAAATATACTGCATATAGTTACAGTGGATCCCTGGAACATAGATCAACCTCGGACATCTCAGTGCTAGGAACAGCAAAGATACTGCGCACAACCCTCAGGCTCGAGCTTAGAGAGGGATAACCGCGGAGGGCCAAAGGTGAGTGTTTATTTTATTTTTATATAGTGTATATATATAACATAAAGCAGACAGTTCTGCTCGCGGACCACCTGTTGAGAACCCCTTCTTTATCACTTGAAGGTCCATCAGAGTGATCCCTGATCTGTCTCAGTATCCTCTGCATCAGTCCTGATCTGTCTCAGTATCCTCTGCATCAGTCCTGACCTGTCTCAGTATCCTCTGCATCAGTCCTGATCTGTCTCAGTATCCTCTGCATCAGTCCTGATCTGTCTCAGTATCCTCTGCATCAGTCCTGATCTGCCTCAGTATCCTCTGCATCAGTCCTGATCTGTCTCAGTATCCTCTGCATCAGCCCTGACCTGTCTCAGTATCCTCTGCATCAGTCCTGACCTGTCTCAGTATCCTCTGCATCAGCCCTGATCTGTCTCAGTATCCTCTGCATCAGTCCTGATCTGTCTCAGTATCCTCTGCATCAGTCCTGATCTGTCTCAGTATCCTCTGCATCAGTCCTGATCTGTCTCAGTATCCTCTGCATCAGTCCTGACCTGTCTCAGTATCCTCTGCATCAGCCCTGATCTGTCAGTATCCTCTGCATCAGTCCTGATCTGTCAGTATCCTCTGCATCAGTCCTGATCTGTCTCAGTATCCTCTGCATCAGTCCTGATCTGTCTCAGTATCCTCTGCATCAGTCCTGACCTGTCTCAGTATCCTCTGCATCAGTCCTGATCTGTCTCAGTATCCTCTGCATCAGCCCTGATCTGTCTCAGTATCCTCTGCATCAGCCCTGATCTGTCTCAGTATCCTCTGCATCAGCCCTGATCTGTCTCAGTATCCTCTGCATCAGTCCTGACCTGTCTCAGTATCCTCTGCATCAGCCCTGACCTGTCTCAGTATCCTCTGCATCAGCCCTGACCTGTCTCAGTATCCTCTGCATCAGCCCTGACCTGTCTCAGTATCCTCTGCATCAGTCCTGACCTGTCTCAGTATCCTCTGCATCAGCCCTGATCTGTCTCAGTATCCTCTGCATCAGTCCTGATCTGTCTCAGTATCCTCTGCATCAGCCCTGATCTGTCTCAGTATCCTCTGCATCAGCCCTGATCTGTCTCAGTATCCTCTGCATCAGTCCTGACCTGTCTCAGTATCCTCTGCATCAGCCCTGATCTGTCTCAGTATCCTCTGCATCAGTCCTGACCTGTCTCAGTATCCTCTGCATCAGCCCTGATCTGTCTCAGTATCCTCTGCATCAGTCCTGATCTGTCTCAGTATCAGCCCTGATCTGTCTCAGTATCCTCTGCATCAGCCCTGATCTGTCTCAGTATCCTCTGCATCAGCCTGATCTGTCTCAGTATCCTCTGCATCAGTCCTGATCTGTCTCAGTATCAGCCCTGATCTGTCTCAGTATCCTCTGCATCAGTCCTGACCTGTCTCAGTATCCTCTGCATCAGCCCTGATCTGTCTCAGTATCCTCTGCATCAGTCCTGACCTGTCTCAGTATCCTCTGCATCAGCCCTGATCTGTCAGTATCCTCTGCATCAGTCCTGATCTGTCAGTATCCTCTGCATCAGTCCTGATCTGTCTCAGTATCCTCTGCATCAGCCCTGATCTGTCTCAGTATCCTCTGCATCAGTCCTGACCTGTCTCAGTATCCTCTGCATCAGTCCTGATCTGTCTCAGTATCCTCTGCATCAGCCCTGATCTGTCTCAGTATCCTCTGCATCAGCCCTGAATCTGTCTCAGTATCCTCTGCATCAGCTGATTCTGTCCTCGATCTGTCTCAGTATCCTCTGCATCAGCCCTGACCTGTCTCAGTATCCTCTGCATCAGCCCTGACCTGTCTCAGTATCCTCTGCATCAGCCCTGACCTGTCTCAGTATCCTCTGCATCAGTCCTGACCTGTCTCAGTATCCTCTGCATCAGCCCTGATCTGTCTCAGTATCCTCTGCATCAGTCCTGATCTGTCTCAGTATCCTCTGCATCAGCCTGATCTGTCTCAGTATCCTCTGCATCAGCCCTGATCTGTATCAGTATCCTCTGCATCAGTCCTGACCTGTCTCAGTATCCTCTGCATCAGCCTTGATCTGTCTCAGTATCCTCTGCATCAGTCCTGACCTGTCTCAAGTATCCTCTGCATCAGCCCTGATCTGTCTCAGTATCCTCTGCATCAGCCCTGATCTGTCTCAGTATCCTCTGCATCAGCCCTGATCTGTCTCAGTATCCTCTGCATCAGTCCTGACCTGTCTCAGTATCCTCTGCATCAGCCCTGATCTGTCAGTATCCTCTGCATCAGTCCTGATCTGTCAGTATCCTCTGCATCAGTCCTGATCTGTCTCAGTATCCTCTGCATCAGCCCTGATCTGTCTCAGTATCCTCTGCATCAGTCCTGACCTGTCTCAGTATCCTCTGCATCAGTCTGATCTGTCTCAGTATCCTCTGCATCAGTCCTGACCTGTCTCAGTATCCTCTGCATCAGTCCTGATCTGTCTCAGTATCCTCTGCATCAGTCCTGACCTGTCTCAGTATCCTCTGCATCAGTCCTGATCTGTCTCAGTATCCTCTGCATCAGTCCTGATCTGTCTCAGTATCCTCTGCATCAGTCCTGACCTGTCTCAGTATCCTCTGCATCAGTCCTGACCTGTCTCAGTATCCTCTGCATCAGTCCTGATCTGTCTCAGTATCCTCTGCATCAGTCCTGACCTGTCTCAGTATCCTCTGCATCAGTCCTGATCTGTCTCAGTATCCTCTGCATCAGTCCTGATCTGTCTCAGTATCCTCTACATCAGTCCTGATCTGTCTCAGTATCCTCTGCATCAGTCCTGATCTGTCTCAGTATCCTCTGCATCAGTCCTGATCTGTCTCAGTATCCTCTGCATCAGTCCTGATCTGTCTCAGTATCCTCTGCATCAGTCCTGACCTGTCTCAGTATCCTCTGCATCAGTCCTGATCTGTCTCAGTATCCTCTGCATCAGTCCTGACTGTCTCAGTATCCTCTGCATCAGTCTGATCTGTCTCAGTATCCTCTGCATCAGTCCTGACCTGTCTCAGTATCCTCTGCATCAGTCCTGATCTGTCTCAGTATCCTCTGCATCAGTCCTGACTGTCTCAGTATCCTCTGCATCAGTCCTGATCTGTCTCAGTATCCTCTGCATCAGTCCTGATCTGTCTCAGTATCCTCTGCATCAGTCCTGATCTGTCTCAGTATCCTCTGCATCAGTCCTGACCTGTCTCAGTATCCTCTGCATCAGCCCTGATCTGTCTCAGTATCCTCTGCATCAGTCCTGATCTGTCTCAGTATCCTCTGCATCAGTCCTGACCTGTCTCAGTATCCTCTGCATCAGTGCATTGGGAGCATTAGCAGAAAACAAACAAACACATTATGTGAAATGAGCTAAAAGCATCGACGGTGAAACACCCACAACAAAAGCTCTCAGTCCATTAGAACCATTAGAACCATCCATCCATGTTCTACCCTTTAATCCATTTCTGGGTCAGGGGGGTGGCAGTCAGAGATGCCACCCAAGTCTCATAGCACCAGCCCCTCACTGACCCTCTGCAGGTGGTGAGTCCACAGGAGGACGGCTGCTCTCTGAGTGTGAGCATAGCCTTGATCTTTCAGTGGGGGCTTTGGGCAAAGTCGGGTTGAGTGTCTTGCCCAAGGACACAACGACAGCAGTCATCAGTGGGAGTCGGTGGAGAAGGTGCAGAGGTGGGAATTGAACCCACAACCTTCTGGGCTTAAGGCCAATGCTCTACCAACTGAGCTACTGTCGCCCCACCATTAGAACCATCTGCACTAATAATGAGTACATCTCTGGTGTCATCGACCCGGCTGCAAATAACTGGTATTTGTTTGTTCCCCCTGGTTTCAATCACTTCTAATCACTGGTACTATGGAGACAAACATTTCACAGTCATTCATCCAGTCCATTTTCTTCCGCTTTATCCGGTCGCAGGTGCAGCAGTCTAAGCTGAGACGGCTAGTTTTTCCTACACTAACACGCAAACACACACTCACCCAAACGCACACACAAATACACACACACACAAACACACACACAAACGCACACACACACACAAACGCACACACACACACTCACACACACAAACGCACACACACACACACACACACACACTCCTCCTCCAGCTCATCTGGGGGAGTCTGGAGGTGCTTCAAAGCCTCTCACGCTTCACTCTCTCGTTGCATTCAGACCTATTGTACATTTCTTTAAAGGTCGGGGAAACCGGAGCACCCGGAGGAAACCTACACAGACACATACAAACCCCGTAGACAGGCCTGGAGGGGGAATCGAACCCAGGACCAAAAGTATTGTCCGTGAATACGTTTTGGTAATTTCTCAAGTGAAAGGACGTTCTTTACAATCACACATCTGTGTTTGCAGCCGGTAGTTTTCAACTTTGGAAGAATAAAATACAAATTTGACCCTTCAGATGAAGCTAGGCGTGGCAGTGCTGTGATGGGAGACTTCTGCGAACAGCAGAATCAGAATCAGAATCAGAATCAGAATCAGAATCATTTTTATTGCCAACGTAAGTAACGGGAGGTCACAGACTTGGAAATTGCTTTGGCTCAGTGCAACAGTCAAAAAGAGATAATAAAAATAAGAATAAAAAACACTTCTAAAGAATAAATTTAAATTTAAAATAGAGTTACAGTTACTATTTACAATATACAAGTGCACATGGTGCACACAATGTAAGGTGACAGCAGTACAGTGAAGTAAAGTGACGTATGATGGGCAGTAAAGTGACTTTATAAAGGGGCGGGGGGACAGGTTAAGAAGTGTTCAAGAGTCCAACAGCAGAGGGGAAGAAACTGTTCTTGTGGCGGGAGGTTCTAGTCTTGATGGACCGCAGCCTCCTGCCTGAGGGGAGTGGTTGGAATAGTCCATGTGCAGGGTGAGAGGGGAGTGGTTGGAATAGTCCATGTGCAGGTGAAAGGGGAGTGGTTGGAATAGTCCATGTGCAGGTGAGAGGGGAGTGGTTGGAATAGTCCATGTGCAGGTGAGAGGGGAGTGGTTGGAATAGTCCATGTGCAGGGTGAGAGGGGTCGGCTGTGATACGACCAGCCCGGCCTCGAGCTCGGGCGACGTACAGGTCCTGCAGCGATGGAAGGCTGCGGCCGATCACTTCCTCTGCAGAGCGCACAATGCGCTGTAGTCTCTGTTTGTCCCTGACTGTGGCTCCAGCGAACCACACGGTGATGGAGGAGGTGAGGATGGACTCGATGATGGCCGTGTAGAACTGCACCAACATCTGTGCAGGCAGCTTGGCTTTCCTGAGCTGCCGCAGGAAGTACATCCTCTGCTGGGCCTTCTTGATGAGGGAGCTGATGGTTGGCTCCCACTTGAGGTCCTGGGTGATGGTGGTGCCCAGGAAACGGAAGGACTCCACAGAGGTGATGGGGGAGTCCATCACGGAGGGTGGGGGCGGGGGGACAGTGCTCTTCCTGAAGTCCACAATCATCTCCACTGTCTTCTGGGCGTTCAGCTCCAGGTTGTTACCACTGCACCAGGACACCAGCCGGTCCACCTCCCTCCTGTAGGCGGACTCATCGTTGTTGGAGATGAGTCCAATGAGGGTGGTGTCGTCCGCGAACTTGATCAGCTTCACGGAGTCGTGGCTGGAGGTGCAGTGGTTGGTGTACAGGGAGAAGAGCAGGGGAGAAAGAACACAGCCCTGTGGGGCTCCTGTATTTATAATCCGAGAGTCCGAGACATTCTTCCCCAGACGCACTCGCTGCTTCCTGTCCGTCAGGAAGTCAGTGATCCACCTGCAGGTGGAATCGGGCACGTTGAGCTGGGAGAGCTTGTCCTGGAGCAGGGATGGCAGGATTGTGTTGAAGGCAGAGCTGAAGTCCACGAACAGGACCCTGGCGTAGGTCCCCGGGGAGTCCAGGTGCTGTAGGATGTGGTGGAG